CAGGGACTTAAAGTTCTTGTCATATAGATCCTTCACTTGCTTGGTTAGTGTTACCCCAAGGTATTTTATGTCATTTGTGGCTATTGTAAAGGGTGATGTATGTCTGATTTCCTTCTCAGCTTCTTTGTCCATTGTATATAGGAGGGCTACTGATTTTTTTGAGTTAATCATGTATCCTGCTATGTTGCTGAAGGTGTTTATAAGCTTTATCAGCTCAAACCACCTGTAATTCCAGCTGCAGGGGATCAGTTGCCCTCTTCTGAGATCTGTGAGATCCTGCACACACACGGTAAATAGACTCACACAGGCACAGTCACACGCATACACACACACATGTTTTAAAATGCATTTAGCTGTATGTATTTGTATGTTTTGCATGTATATATGTCTTCTCACCATGTGAGGAGGCCAGAAGGGGGCAGTGGATCCCCTGAGACTGGAGTTACAGATGTTTGTGACCTGCCGTGTAGGTGCTGGAAAATGAACCCCAGACCCTCTGCAAGAACAGCCAGCTTCCTCATTGCTCAGCCGTCTCTCCAGCTCCTGGGTAGTTTTTTTTTTTAAAAAAACCTTAAAATATATATTTAAAATTTTGGTGTAGCTCAGTGGTAAAGCATTGTCTAGCATGTTCAAAAGTCAATATCAGAAAGAGAGAGAGAGAGAGAGAGAGAGAGAGAGAGAGAGAGAGAGAGAGAGAGAGAGAGATTTAGTGTTTAAGCACTCAGTCTGTAAGGTCTGTTACCTGTGTTAGCTGTACTTAGCAGAGACTTCCTCAAGCCAGCTTTAGTTGACCTCACACCTAATTAAGGGGCAAGCTTGACAGCTTTATACTCTAAAAAAAAAAAAGCAAAAATGTCTGTAGTCATCAGTTAGCACAAAAGGTGACTTACTAGACAATCCATTTCCATAGATGGTATTCCCTCACCTCAGTACCCCAACACACACACACACACACACACACACACACACACACACACACACACACACCACATACCTGTTATCTAAATGTTAACCATTTTTAAACCACTGAGCATCTCTCCATTCTCTAAAGGTCTCCATTAAAATGCTCTCACCTAAATCATCAAAATTGCCCCTCAGTTCACTAGGTGTATACAAAGGCTGTTTGAAAAGAATGAGGGAAGCAGCAGGGAATTGGGTTCACCCCAAGAATATGAGATCTGCTGAAACAAAATTTAAAAGGAAAAAGGATTTCAGTACGCTTATGTGAACATTAACAGCCGTGCTCTAAGGGCCGGGGTTTAGTTAATGGAGCTTTCTAACCCCATTATGTTCTCTAGTTATAATATATTACCCCTAGCCTAAGGAAAGGGGAACAAAATGTGATTAAAATGCAGAAAGCTCCTCAGAACCCTCCACTGTGAGTCACTTAGAAATGCATTCCCTCCCCACATATGTATCTAAGCAATTTAGGACTGCAGGGTCGACTCCGCACCCACTCTGACAAGAAAAGAGTCTCGTGCCAAACGTAAAAATTGCAGCTAGAGCTGTAATAGGTGAGGTCCACGGTGCTGAGTGTTGCACCAAGTCAGCTCGAGGAAATGAGAGTGTTCTCCTAAGGCTCTTTGACAATGCCTGGATCAGTTCCCCGCTCTCTAATTACCTTTACAACAACACAATGGTAATTTAGTATCACCATGCACTGTCACTCCCCATTAGTAAACACCAGGACCTGCTGAGTAATTACAGAATAACCTCATAATGAAATGCAGGGAAGACTTCTAATTACATTTTAATGTTGCTTAGAATGATTCCATTTTAAAATGAGAATTTTCCAGCCATGTGTTCTAATGAGTTATCAGAATGCATCCCCCCCCCCCCCAAACTGTGTAGATGGACACTGAATATTAGCACCAGCGGGCACATGTGTGGAAACATTTACAATCAAAATTATACACTACACTTAAGTGGTTGATGAGAATGCAGTAACAACAATGGGGAAAGGCAGTTATGAAAGCCTCTAGCCCAGTTACGCTTCAGTCGGTCAGCCACAAATGAGCTCAAAGCTGTCTACTCTGAACACTGACTCACACAAGTCACACAGGAGTCCACAGCGCCTCTGCTGTCCCACTGCCTACAGCACCCCCCTGGCCCCAAAGGCATACTCGGCCATCTTCTATCAGACCTGCCCACATTCTCTTGTTCTCTCTACCGTCCATACATCCTCTTCCGGGCATTTACTGGACGTCCCTTTGATGTTGACTGAGGTCAGACATGGTAAACAGCCCTTCCTGGCTCTCTTTTCCTCGTGGAGTAAGGCCCAGCCGTCTCCTTCCCTCTTAGCACAGTGGATTGAAGATCTGCCCCATCGTCAGCTGAAGTCAGCGGCAGCCTCCTCCCTAACAGGAACAGCAGCATCCGAAGAGAGAACTTATTCAGATAGATACTGAGAGTTCTACGACATGCACACACAGTCACTCGTGTGACCCATCTGCTTCGTGTTCCCAGCAGCCAGACCCTTTGCTGGGAAGTGAACCTGTATTATCTACGCAGGTCCCTGGGAGGACAGCACCGAGCTGTCTCGATTGGCACCGGGAAGGTTAGGAGGCTTCGGATGGCACAGTAGTACTCAAGCTCTGTTTTCATTTTGACACAAGAACAACAAATTCGCTGTTTGGCATTAGCCAGTTTAAATAAGAACCATCTTTTTTTGTTTGTCGTCGTCATCGTGTGTGTGTGTGTGTGTGTGTGTGTGTGTGTGTGTGTGTGTTGTGTATGTGTGTGGGTCTGTCTGTCTGTCTGTGTGTATGTCTGTGTGTGTCGTGTGTGTATATGTGTGTGTTGTGTGTGTGTGTGTCGTGTGTGTATATGTGTGTGTTGTGTGTGTGTGTGTGTCTGTCTGTGTCTGTGTGTCGTGTATGTCTGTGTGTGTTGTGTGTGTATGTGTGTGTGTATGTGTGTGTGTGGTGTATGTGTGTCTGTCTGTGTGTTGTGTGTGTGTCGTGTGTGTATGTCTCTGTGTGTTGTGTGTCGTGTGTATGTGAGTGTGTGTGTATCTGTCTGTGTCTGTGTGTCATGTGTGTGTCATGTGTGTGTCGTGTGTGTATGTCTGTGTGTGTCGTGTGTATGTGTGTGTGTCTGTGTGTGTTGTGTGTCGTGTGTATGTGAGTGTGTGTGTGTCTGTGTGTATCGTGTGCATGTGTGTGTGTATGTCTGTGTGTGTCTGTGTGTCTGTGTGTGTGTGTGTGTGCGTGTGTGTGTGTGTCGTCCCCCACCTCCACCCTTTCTGAACCAATTCTCACTCAGCCTGTGTTCCAAACTGGCTCTAATTTACTTCCTCTCTGCCTTAGCTTCCTGAGAGCTGGGATTACAGGTTCAAAGCACTACATCCAGCTTTTACTTCTTATTTCAATTGCTGTATTACTGACTTTTAGGAAACCTCAGAGACCCCCAGCATTACTGAAGTCTAATTCCTGGGAACTCACAATAGCAATGAGATGATGCTGTGGGCACAATGCACAGTGCCACCAGGGCATCAAAAGTAGGAGACTTGGACCCTGTCACACTCTTCCTGGAGAAGCTGCTTTTTTTCTTTCTTTTAATTTCCTAACTGATTTTATTATCTATTTATTTGTGTATGTATGTATGTATTCATTCATTCATTCATTCATTCATTCATTCATTTAAACAGGGTCTCTCTTCATAGCCCTAGCTGTTCTGGAACTTACTGCGTAGACCAGGCTGACCTCAAATTCACAGAGATCCGTCTGCCTCTGCCTTCCGCGTGCTAAGATTAAAGGCATGTGCCACCACCCCTGCCTTAAACAGCTTGTTTGTTTGTTTGGTCATTTGTTTGTTTTGTTTTTTGAGTCAGGGTTCTCTGTATAATAGCCCTAGCTGTCCTGGAACTTACTGTGTAGACCAGGCTGGCCTCAAACTCACAGAGATCCGTCTGCCTCTGCCTCCCAAGTGCTGGGATAGAAGGCGTGCCATCATGCTTGGCTAAATAGCTTTTAAAAATAAAAATATAATTACATCATTTTCCCCTACATCTTCCTCCCTCCAACCTTTCACACATATACCCTTGCTGTGACTCTCTCTCTCTCTCTCTCTCTCTCTCTCTCTCTCTCTCTCTCTCTCTCTCCCTGAAGTTCATGACCATGGCCTCTTTTTCTTTGTTGTTACATATGAATACATATATTCATAAATATATAAATTTAATAAATATATAAATTATAAATAAACCTACTCAGTCCATACAATGTTACTTGTATGTATATGATAGGATTTCAGGGCTGATCACTTGGATAACAATGGGGGGCTTTTCCCTGGGAAAGACTATTTCTCCCACAATCATTCCTCAGTTCTTTGTTTGGGGTTAGAGCCCCATTAGACTTCTCTTTTCCATGTCAGCATGTCGATTGTAGTTCTTTATCTAGGATTGGGACCCCATGAGATCCCCTTCCATGATACATGTCTGTTGACGTCCTCTTTGTACAGGTCTTGCTTTGGCAACCACATAGTAAAGATTTCATTAGTGTGGCTTCCCTGACTTTTCTAGGAGACAACCTCATAGCCAACTTCCTGCTCCCCTGACTCTCACAATCTTTCCACAGGATGTTCCCTGAGCCTCAGGTGAGGAACAGTACTGCGAATGCATCAGTTGGGGCTCGGCACCCATGACCATGATCGCTTGCTCTCTGCGTTCGCAGCAACCGTGGCTTTCTGCAATGGTCTCTTACAAAGAGGAGTTTCTTTGAAGAAGGCTGAGAGCTAAACTTCTCTGTGGGTGAAAGGACAAATGTTTAGAATGCAGTTTGGAGCTGTGCTGGTCTAGTCAAGTGACAGTTGTAGGTTCTCCTCCAAGGTCCGTGGCCTCACTACCTCCAGGTAGTCGGCTAGGGTTCCGGGACCAGGTATTGTTTTCTCTTGTTGAGTGGGACTTAAGTCCAATTAGAGAGTTGGCACCACTGGGGTATGACTGCCTCTACTGCATACCCTCAGTGTTGTGTTGGTCCTTGGAGTAAACCATACTTGGGTAGGGCAGTTGGTGGCTTGTCCCCTTTGGAAGCTTGCATGGTGCCTTCTAGGATCATGAGAGCTAGTCCTGAGGAAGGAGGATTTTACATCAATCTGAATCAGATTCTCTAGGTTCTGTATCTAAAGTACAAGGTGTCTTCAGCAATAGGGACTTCCTTCCGATGTCGGAGAGGCAACCAACGGCAAATGCAATGGTCCATAAATGTCTTCTGGAGTCTCTTAAACTCTCCTGACCAACAACTAGGAAGGGACTTCTCATGCCTGTTACTGCGATTTTGTTAGATAGTCTATGGCTCTTGAGGGGAGGAGCATTGTCAGTCCAGGTAGAAATTTTTCATTTAAATCACATATGTATTTAAGTACATATGTGTGTGTGCATTGACTTATATGTATTATGTATAATTTTAGATAAACAGATAATAATATGAATCCTTATGATATTTTATGACATCCTTACTATTATTTTATACTCTCCCTCTCTCTCAAAAAAGGCTACTTTTATCTGTAGGCCAAGTTTCATAGTCTGAATCTGGTGATCATTTGTTTTAATACTAAAGTTAAAACTGGTCCCAGTAATACAATCACTTTGTTGATTTTAAATCTTTATCATAATTTTTTACTCTGTGGGGGGGGCGCCCCCCCCCCCACAGACCGTCCTTGTGGTAGGGCAGCATGGGAGGTATCTCAGTCATCAGAGGCCCACAGTGAGGCTTGGCAAGCCCTCCGATGTCCCCACTGTCATCACCATGGATCACCCAGGGCTTCCTGAGAGACTGTCTCCCACATGAATTAAATCCTCACACGTATCCGGAAGACCTACTCGAAGCCTCTGCCCATGGACTAGGAGGTCTAGACAACAGAAAGTAAGTTTCCAGAAGCGTGTTGGCCATTGACCATGCTTTCACAGAGGTAATTTCTTCCAAGGTCCCTGGCAGTAGACGGTGGTTAATATAAAAGCAGTTGTAGTTGTTGTTTGGAGATAGGATCTCATGCGGCACAGGCTAGGCCTCAAATTTGCTATGTAGGAGAGGATGGTTTTGAATTCCCAATCTCCCTGCCTCTGCTTCCCAAGAGTTGGAATGATAGGCATGTGCCGCCACACTAATTCTTTGCAGGTTGGGGATCAAAGCCAGGGCCTTATACATGCTAAATAAACACTCTACCAACTGGGCCACATTTCTAACCCACTCATAGTTAAATATATTCTTTCTATTTTTGACTGATGCAATTTTATTTTGAGACCCTGAGAATTCGAGATAATGTGAAATTCCAGGGAAGTTATGCCAAATACCATGTTGGTTCTAACTTAGGCCAACCAGTGCGCAAATCAAGCACAGTAGGTTGTTGGAGGAACTGTGCTCTGGACCTGAGCAGCTTGGCTCCAAGGACACAATCAAGTCTCAGTGTGCCACTTGGTGTCACAAAGACAACACAGCATTGCTGCATTTAGTTAAGAATTTAACCAAAATGATGCAAGTCCCTTCATTCTGAATATTCTTTATATCCTTGTGGGCCAAGGCCATGCCAATCTTTTCAGGATGGTCTGATGTTGCACTGAAAGCTGGTCCTAGGACACTCCTCAGCCCAGCCGCACTGGAATGGCTGATGACCCTGGGTCCCTCATAGTCAAGGGGGTGGGTAGAAATAGGAGAAGGATGGGAAACTGATAAGAAGAGAGAAAACTGATAAGCATTTCATTTATTGGCTAAATTGAAAATGATGGTTTCCGAGATTTTTTCAAGTCTAGTTAGTACAAAGATATTATCAGTTCCTTGGATGTTTAACTCTAAAATGTAGTAGCTGGTAAGAAAGTGACACCAAACGTGAGAAAAATGATCACTCTATTGAGATTCTAAGAGAAGCCACGTGTAATATAGGAGAAGGTGAGAGAGAAAATAACTCGGTTTTTTTGTTTGTTTTGTTTTTGTAGTTTTTTGAGACAGGGTTTCTCTGTGTAGCCCTGGCTGTCCTGGAACTCACTCTGTAGACCAGGCTGGCCTCCAACCCCCAGAGATCCTCCTGCCTCTGCTCCTAAGCACTGGGGTTGCAGGATGTGCCATCACACCCTGCCGAGAAGATGACTCTTGAGAGAGGCTAGCCACAGTTCTTCCCACTCCAGCTCACACCTCATGCTCTCACAGCTGTGCCAGGAACCACTTATTGAACTTTTCACATTTCTTTCCTCACTAGATACCAGTTTCTCCCAGAAGCCTCTGTCTCACTCATCAAGGAAGATCTTGGAATAGTAAAATATTTACCAATTACTGGCTGGTTAAATAAACAAATTATGAAATTTTTCTATTTTTTATCATTAATAATGCATTTTTTTTTTGCTACCAAAATCAACATTCTATCCAATAGGCATCAAAAGTGCTGGGTAGATGAGTCAGTGAGGCCTTGTAGATTTCACTCCCACAAACATTATAGGACACTGCCGTTACTCTTGGCTACCTATAGAACTTGATGGTGAGACCCTATTACTAAAGATAGCACATATTTGAGTGACAGGAAAATGAGAAATCAAACTGGAACAGAGCTGAAGACTGTATCCTTTCAGCCTAGCTTTCAGCATGCTGGAAGGTGCTATGCCTGCTACTGGGGAGGCGGAGTGGTCAAGTCGTACTCAGAGACCAAATAATGACTGGCCCTGTCAAGACACACCCGCTGGTGCAATAGGATCGTGAATGTTACGGGAGTAACCATAACATTTCGGCTGGATTAAGGCCTACTCCGTAAGATGAAAATCATAACT